GGAGGAGAGAGGAGAAAGGGAGTGGGAGGAGAGGGAAGAGGAGGGGGGATGGAATAGAGTGGAGGGGTAGGGGAAAGGGGAGAGGGGGTGCCATGGGGAAGGGGAGAGAAAGGGAGGGGGGTGGGGGGAGGGGGGAGGAGAAAAGAACAACCCCCCCCCCCCCGCCCGTCGATCAGTGACATCTGGCGGAAGATGTCGGCTCTTTCCCTCAGTCACCTTTTGAGCGGTGTGGCACCTTCACCGCGGCGCCAGTTCGGGAGAGTGCCAGTCGGTTCGAGAGTGCCAGTCGATTCGAGAGTGCGTTTCGAGAGTGCCAGTTCGTGCCAGTCGATTCGAGAGTGCCTATTCGAGAGTGCCAGTCGGTTCGAGAGTGCCTATTCGAGTGACAGTCGGTTCGAGAGTGCCTATTCGAGTGACAGTCGGTTCGAGAGTGCCGTTTCGATAGTGCCAGCCGGTTCGAGACTGCAATTTCGAGAGTGCCGTTTCGAGAGTGCCAGTCGATTCAAGAGCGCCGTTTCGAGAGTGCCAAGCGTGACTATGCGAAAGAGGATTGCATAACGGGGTGCCACTATCATTATAAAGAGTTTTTGGTTAAGTGACTGTGAATAAATATATATAATAAATAGATAGATAATGAAGATGAAGATAAATTAATACGAAAAATTAATAAAACACGAAAAAAACGAAAAAAAGACGGCAAATAATAAAGAAAAAAATAAAATTAAATTCAGAACAACATAAAAAAATATTATATAAAAACACATGAATCGCCGAAGAGACTTAAAAATGAATAATAACTTATAAACCCAACTCAAAATAAAAAAAAAACAATTAAATAAATGAATAATTAAATGAACACAATGGAGAAAGCAAGAATTGGCAAAGATTACGATGACGGGGAACAGGTGGACGAAGACGAAGGAGGGAGACAGACGAAATATGAGAAAAATTCTCTTATTCTTGTTACTCTCGAACATTCGACGCTCGTGTGAGTAAGATTTGTGAGGCGGAGAATGAGTTAAGGGAAATTTATGAGGAGGAAGGGTTTTGTGAGTAAGAATGAGAAGGAAATTATGGTTTTGTGAGTAAGAATGAGTTATGGAGATTATGAGGAATTGAGAATGGTTTCTGAGTAAGACTGAGTAAATATATTATATGGCATGAATTTATGAGGAAGACTGAGTAAGGATATTATGAGGAATGATTTTATGAGCAAAACTGAGTAAAGGTATTATGAGGAACCATTTCATAAGTAAAACTGAGTAAAGATAGTATAAGGAACAATTTCATACGCAAAACAGAGTAAAGATATTACGAGAAACGATTTCATAAGCAAAACGGAGTAAAAAATATGATGAGGAACGATCTTATGAGTAAGACTGATCGCGGAGACTATGAGCCAATCCTCGAAGACCAAGAACGAGACATGAGTTTAGATCACGACAGCTCCGTTTATGAGGGATCCCACGCCGGCGTCGGGTGGAGGCGGAAGCGAGAGCGAGCGGCCGGCGCGGCGTGTATGGCGGAGGGCACTCAACCCTCGAGAGATGGGGGGAGGGAGGGGGAAGGGGAGGGGGGAGGGGGGGGGGGGGTGTAGGGGAGAGGAGGGGAGGGGGGAGAGGGGAGGGGGTGGGAAGGGGGAGGGGAGGGGAGGAGGGGAAGGGGAGGGGGAGAGGGTGAGGGTGAGATGGGGGAGAGAGGGAGAGAGGGGGTGGGGAGGGGAGAGGGGGAGGGGATGGGAGGGAGGGGAGGGGAGGGCGCAGAGGGGGCCGATAGGAGAAAATATCGCGGATGATGTGATTATGGTAATGCTGATTAGGTATAGAATCTATATCAATATGGAAGTGTTATATATGTTGTATATGTGTGCGTGTGTGTGTGTGTGTGTGTGTGTGTGTGTGTGTGTGCGTGTGTGTGTGGTGTGTGTGTGGCAACTCCACATCCCCCTAACCACACCAAACCAGAAAACCCAACCTTACCTTTAAAACCTCAAAAAATCCTTAAACCCAAAATCTCCGTAAACATAAGCACGAGGTTTTTTCTTCTCTGCAGCACACCTGTTCCGCACAGATGTTTGGCAGACCGAAATAACTCGAGTGCGTGTAACCTTCATGGCAACTTATTCTCGGTGACTGAGGAGTTTCCGTTGTAGAGACTCTGTAACCTTTTTTGAAGCTCTGCATTAATCTTAAAATTGGTCAAGGGAAAAAAATATGATGGTTTGATGATGATGTTAATAACAATGGTGATATAATGATAGTAATGATAATGTAATAATGATAATGATAATAAGAAATAACAAGATAATCATAACAACAATAAAACATAATGATAATAATGATAATGAATAACCGTAACAAACAACAACGGCAACACCAACAATAAAAACAATAACAATAATAATGATAATGACAGGAAACATATTAATAATAATAATAATAAAATAGTAACTGTAATAACAGTTATACATATGATAACGAAAATCATGATAACAATAATGATAATAATAGCAAATGTCTTAATGAAAAAGATAATAGCAATTAAGAAAATAGTCATAAGGATAATGATAATAGTAATAATAATGATGATGGCATTAATAGAAGAAAAAGCAATAACAGAAATGAAAGATAATGATGATGGCAAAAGCAATAATGAAAAAATAACGATAATAACATCAATTATCAATATCACTGTTCATGTAATAAAAAATGATACTCATAGTAATGACATAATGATAAAAGCAATAATAGACAAGTTAATGGTATATCAATGATAATCATACTAGAATTAGACTCAAAGATAACAGTAATTGAAATAGTAATAATATCCATAATGAAATTGATAAGACCTTCGATATATCTAACTTTATAAGCTATCAAATCACCAAAAATAGATTGAATTCATACGTCACGATAAATTGCAAATATAACTGTCCATACTGCATAAAAAAAATATTGTGAGTATATTTCTTCCAAAATCAAAATACTTAAAAGATCTTTCACGACATCAGCTGTATGAAGAAATGTCGATTATTCACCTCTTGATTAAAGCCACGTGGGGGGCCTGATTAGCTGTTTGAGCGTGTGTGTGTGGGGGGGGGGGGTGCTGTGTATTGTGTGTGTGGTGCTGTGTGTGTGGGGGGGGGTGCTGTGTGTGTGGGGGGGGTGTGTGTGTGTGTGTGTGTGTGTGTGTGTGTGTGTGTGTGTGTGTGTGTGCTTGTGCCTTGTGTGTGCGTGCGCGTGCTTGTGCCTGTATGTATGTGTGTGTGTCCACGTTCGTGTGTGTGTGTATATATATGCTTGTATATACATGTGTATGCGTGTGTGTGTAAGATACACCACCGCACAAAACGACATTTCATCCCCTCACTTCAACACCAATAACCTCACTCCGATCCCGATTTCAGGAAAAAGATGCTGAAACGGAAGGTGGACATGAAGGGCTTCAGGGAGGAGGTGGAGAGGCTCAGACGAAGCAGATTAATCGTGATCTTGATCGTCTACTTCGCTCTCGTCTTGGACAACATGCTGCTGACGGTGGTGGGTAAGTTGAAAGTGGGCGTGCGATCTCCGTAGACTTCTGCGGACGGCTGCTTCGTGTTTTTTTAAATCAAAATCCGTATTTTTTTCTTTCTTTTTTTGGATATTTCGATGATTTTTTTTTCAACACATTATTACATCGTCAAGATCTTCGTAGAATTTCACTTTCACTGTAATTATTTTAATGGCCATCGTACTAATATCACTCTTATTGCCATGTTAATGATGATAACCACAAATATGCTATCACTGGGATCTCATTAATATTACCATCATTATTTATTCCTCTCTCTCTATCTGATTAACATTGAGTCAGTCATTAAATCAATATTTTCTTCTCTCTTCTCTCTCTCTCTCTCTCTCTCTCTCTCTCTCTCTCTATCTCTATATATATATATATATCTATATATATATATATATATATATATATATATATATAATATATATATATATATATATGTTATCCTCTCTGCTCTGTCTCCTTCTGTCGTTCTGTCTGTCTGTCTGTCTGTCTGTCTGTCTCTGTCTCTCTCTCTCTCTTCTCTCTCTCTCTCTCTCTCTCTCTCTCTCTCTCTCTCTCTCTCTCTCTCTCTCTCTCTCTCTCTCTCTCTCTCTCTCTTCTCTTCTTCTCTATCTATCCACTTATCTCTTCTAACCCCCCCCCTCCTCCCCCGCAGTGCCCATCATCCCCGACTACCTGTACCGCCAGGAGACGCAGACGCAGTCCTCCTCGCAGGAAGGCCCCGCCACGCCCATCCCTCCCCGCCCGCCCCTCCGCTCCCACGCCCACGACGAGGAGCGAGGGGCGGCTCTATGCAGGGGCGCGAAAGACCTTTCAGAACCCAGCTCCTGAAGGGGGAGAGCGAGAGAGGATCCGAGGGACCTCCCGTGCCTGCTTCCGTCGCCGAGGTCGCAGGGGACGGGTCCGAGGCGCTGCCCTTCGCCCTCCTGCAGGAGAGAGGAGCCGAGGGCGAGGTCGGGAGAAGAGGGTTCCATCGGGTCAAGAGAGGTCATGCTCCGCCTTCGAGGGGAGGGTTCTCGGACACCCAGAGACGCGTCGCATTCCTCCAAAAGGAATCGAGAGACAGGTCCATGCCAGCCGCCAGCCACAGCCGTCGCGGAATGGCCACCAGTCCTTCCAGCCACGATCCGGGTGTCCACAACCACACCCTCCCCCCTCCCCCGACGCCCCCCGGAGGCCGAGAACCACCCCAGGAAGTCCTACTCGACGATTCCCCCGAGGAAAGTCCTTCAAGAACCTCGGAGACGCCACAAGAGGACCCCGACCCAGAACCGAAGACTCAGAGCAACGCCACCCAGACCGCAGCCGAAGCCGTAGCCACGCCGCACGACATCATCAACGAGAACGAACGCGTGGGCCTCCTGTTCTCGTCCAAGGCCTTCGTGCAGCTGCTGGTGAACCCGCTGGTGGGGCCTCTGACCGCCCGCGTCGGGTACTCGGTGCCGCTGGTCGCCGGGACGCACGTGCTCGTCCTCTCGGCGCTGAGTAAGTGCGGGGATTTATCAGCTATTCGTCTCTTGGTTCATCTGGGATTTGCTAATCTGTTCGAATCGATTGGTTCGCGGATTTATTGATTACACGGGATTTGTTGATTTATTAGAATTTGTTAGTTGGTTATAATTCATTACTCAAATCTCCGACTTCTTCCTTCTCTCTTCTCTCCTCTCTCTCTCTCTCTCTCTCTCTCTCTCTCTCTCTCTCTCTCTCTCTCTCTCTCTGAGGGGGGATGGGTGATTTAGCTCATAGCAGGCATTTAAAAAGAAACAGAAAAGGAAAAATCGAACCAAAATCGCATGCCATACGATAAAGAAAGAAAAAGATCTCAAAACCCGAGACAGGATTCGACCCCGGAAGATTCGACACGGCTTCGCGCGGCCGAACGAGCCAAACGAACCCCGGCTTAAACGCACAACAAACCAAAAACCTTCTTAAACTACGTTATTCACACAAGGACCTCCTCCCGATATGCGATTTTTGGCGCGTGTTTTTCGGCGATTTTCAAAATTACCTTCAAATATCCCTAAAAAAAGGGTTATTTTTGTGGGAAATTTTAGCTCATCTTTGCGATAAATGGGTTTTCTTTACAGTTTTAACAATGAAAGCTTGTGTGGGAGACCTATGTATGGGGGGGGGTATTGGAAAAAAACAAATTCCATCCTCTAAATTACCGTATCTTTCTATACACACTTCCCGATCGCCACCAACTGCACATTAACAGATAAAAATCCGATTTACCTTGTGGTGAAGTGAGGACGACTGGGAGGAGACGAAAATGGCGTATCAATGAAGCTGGAATGCGGTTTCTGTATTTCGCTGAATTTTATTGTTATCCCCGAGATCTTAACATTTTCAGTAAGATATCGTTTTCATGGTAATAATTGGGAACCGTAAATAGCACTGTAAACAAACTTCACCTTTGGAACGAGCAATGAACACTATGATAAGTTGTTACAGTCACTGGCAACATAACTGTCAAATTTGCCGATAGATGGCTCTACATGCGCAAGTATGGATGTTAACAACCATTTCTAATAAAAAAGTGTGCGTATAGAATATAATAGAACGCATCACATATTTAAGAAATGAACAATTAATAAACACGTATTTCAATATATATGAATCACATTCCAGAAATTCACTAATAGCACAGTGCCTCTCTGTACTATAACAATTTTTGCAAATACTGCTCACCCCGAGGGATCAACGCATAGTATTAACTTTTCTTCACTAAATATACATTAATAAACCACATGATAATAAAATTTACACGATAATTCGCATATCCGACTTCGCAGCCGCATAGATGGCACTCGCATCGCCCAAGCGGATTCGAGGGGAAACTTCGGAATTTTTACTCGCTACGAATTAAAATGGTATTTTTGTGGTTTTGTGAGACGGAAAACGATAATTAGTGGTGGAAATTGTTGTTTAAATTGCTGATGTGAATATAAATACTTATTTTTTTCTTTTTTTATGAGAATGCAAAAGGAAAATGATCTTCAGTAATTTGTATGTATAAGGAATAGTATTCATTTTGACAACACAAAAAGGTGATTTACAAAGAATACAAAAAAATCTCACACAAACAAAGATTGCATATCAAAATGTAACTTTACATAAACAGAAATAGAAGCCCATATTCAAATTATAGATCCAAACAAATAAAAAATAATAATGATAATGACAATTATGATAATAACAAACACAAACAAAAAAAGCAAAAAAAGGACTAAGATACTAATCACGAACTTTTCCTTTTATCTCCCTTCCTCCCTCTACTCCTTCCTCCTCTCTCCTTTCCTTCCTCCCTTCTTCTGTCTCCCTCCCTCCCTCTCTCAATCTCCACTTCCCTCCTGCCTCTCCCTCCTTCCCTCTCTCCCTCTCCCCCTCCCCTATTCCTCTCTATCCTCCCTCTCTCCCTCCCTCCTTCTCTCCCTTCTTCTGCCTCCTTCTCTCCTCTCACCCTCCTTCCCCTCTCCGTCTCCTCTATTCTCCCTCTCCCTCTTTCCTTCTTTTTCCTCTCTTCTCTCTCTTCCTTTCTCTCTCTCTCTCCTCCCTCCCTCCTCTCTCTCCTATTCCCTCCCTCTCCTCTCATCTCCCTCTCCTCTCTCTCCCTCTCTCCCTCCTTCTTCCCCTCCTCTCCGTCTCCTTTTTTCCCACTCTCTCTCTCCTCTCCCTCACCTCCCTCCTTCTCATCCCTACTCCTCCCTTCCTCTCTTCTCCCATTCTCCTCCTTCCTCTTCCTCCTCTCTCTCTCTCTCTCTCCCTCCCTCTCTCCTTCTCTCTCCCTCCCTCTCTTCCTCCCTCTCTCTCCTCCTCCCTCTCCCTCCTCTCTTTCCCCCCCTCTCCCTCTCCTGCCTCATCCTCTCCCTCCCTCCCTCCCTCCTCTCATTCCTCTCCCTCCTCCCTCTCCCTCCTTCCTCTCCCTCTCTCCCTTCCTCTCCCTCCCACAGTGTTCGCCTACGCAGAAGTTTCTCCATCATGTTCCGGCGAGGAGTCTGCAGGTATTGCGGTCATCGTGCATTGCTATTGCAGGTGGGAACCATAGCATTCTCTCTCTGTCTGTCTATCTATCTGTCTTTCTTTTCTCTCTCTCTTCATCTCTTTCTCTCTTTCTTTCTCTCTCTTCTTTCTCTTTTTCTCTTTCTTTCTTTCTTTCTTTCTCTCTCACTCTCTTTCTTTCTCTCTTCCTCTCTCTCTTCTCTCTCTCTCTCTCTCTCTCTCTCTCTCTCTCTCTTCTCTCCTCTCTCTCTCTCTCTCTCTCTCTCTCTCTCTCTCCTCTCTCTCTCTCTCTTCGCTCTCCTCTTTCTTTCTTTCTATTCTGTTTCTGTTTCTGATTCTCTCTCTCTCATAATCACTTTTTTACAAGTACTTTCGTTCATCATTATTCTTTTTTTATATGGATTTATAGATAGATAGATAGATAGATAGATATACATATAAATATACAATATATATAATATGAAATATATACATGGATATAGATATAGACATTGATAGATAGATAGATAGCTATTGATATCAATATATATAGAGAGAAAAATAACTAAATAGCTAAATAGATATGGCATCTTCCCCTCCCCCCTCCCCCCTACCCCCCCAACCCTTCCCCCCCTCCCCCTACCCCTACCCCCCCCCCCCCCCAAGGCCTGGGCATCGTGGCCGAGTGCTACCCGGACGACGGCGAGCGTGGGCGTGTGCAGGGCCTGGTGATGGGCGGCATCGCGTTGGGCGTCCTGGCTGGCTATCCCGCGGGCGGCCTGCTCTACGACTTCACCAATTCGAAGACGCCGCCTTTTCTCTGGTCGGGGGGCTCGCCGTGGTGCTGGCAGGTGGTTGGTGGGCTGAGGGTGGGTTGGGCTGAGGGTGGGTTGGGGTTGGAGTTGGTGGAGGGTGGGTTGGAGTTGGCTGAGGTGGGTTGGAGTTAGGTGAGGGTGGGTTGGTGGGTTGGGGTAGGTTGGAGTTTGTTGAGGTGGGTTGGTGGTTTGGACTTGGTTGAGGATGGGTTGATAGATGGGGATGTGGGTTAGGGAGGGTTGGGGTGTGGTTAGAGGGTGGTTTGGGTGGGTTGAGAGGTGGTTGGAATGGGGTGGGGTTGTGGCAGGTTGAGTTAGTGGTGGGCTGAGATAGAATTGGAGTGGTTTGGGTGGGTGAGGGTAAGATGAGTAGGATTAGAAGTGGGTTTTAGTGCGGGGTGGGAGTGGGTAGGGGCATAGGGTGGGTTGGATTGGCTTGAGGGTGGGTTGGGAGTGGATTCGGGTGGGTTAGAGTAAATTGGGATAGGTTGGGGTGGGCTGAGGGTGGGTTGGAGTTGGTTGAGGGTGGGTTGGTTTGAGGGTGGGTTTTATTGGGGTGGCTGAGGGTGGGTTGGTGGGCTGAGGGTGGGTTGGGTGGGCTGGGTGGGTGGGGTTGAGGGTTTTAAGGGTGGGTTTATGGGTGGGCTGAGGTGGGTTGGGCTGAGGGTGGTTTTTGGGTGGGCTGAGGTTGCTGAAACTGGGGTGGGCTGAGGGTGGGTTGGTGGGCTGAGGGTGGGTTTATTGGGGTGGGCCTGAGGGGTGGGTTTATTGGGTGGGTTGGAGTGGTTGAGGTGGGTTGGTGGGCTGAGTGGGCTTATTGGAGTGGGTTGATGAGTAAGGAGTGAGTAAATGAGAGAGTTAGCCGGAAAATAAGTCACGTGATATAGATCCCAGCTGAGTCAATCAAAACCCTAATTAATAATATAAAGATAATAAGGCGGTTAAATACATCAATCTGTAATAGAAAAAAAAAATCCTATAACCTAAATATTTCAGTGTCATCCATCAACTTTTTTTTTTTTTTTTTTTTTTTGCAACAAACTGAAATGACATTATACATTCAAGCATTTTGCAAAAAACTTTCTCAACACATGCTTTAACCTTCGGAATTATGCAACAGCTGTTTGCATTAACCTTCTCCAATGCATATATAAGCAGCAAAAACTGTTGAGCAAATTTGCACTTTAATTTGACCTTTCTGCATAAACTTTTATTCTTATAATTTGGTCTTTTCTACATAAATTCCGGTCATACTAAAATTTATGGTGATCTGCATAAGTTCATAATTCTGCAGAAAATTCTATATAAACTTTCACACAACCTGTACGTGGAAAAATCTGCTAAAACTGATAATTCTACATAGAATTCTACATAAACTCATAAATCTTTTTAAAATTCTACATAAAATTCTAAATAAAATAAATCTATTTTAAATTCTGCATGAAATTCTAAATAACCTCATAAATCTATTCAAAATTCTACACAAAATTCTACATAAACTCAAAAACCTACAGAAAATTCTACACAGAATTCTCCATAACCTCATAAATCTACATAAAATTCCATTTAAAACTCTACATAAATTCCTATAACACAAACTCTACAGGTACAAAATCTTTTTACAATAAGAATTTAATATACGACACATGTGTACATAATCTAAAAGATCATGTATATAAAGATACGCACATACATAAATACATATACATGAACATATCTATCTAAATCAACTTTGGAAACTGCTGTTTTTTTTTATGTCATGTAATACATGTCATGTAATACCTTTTCACCGTCAAATAAATCGAAATAGGATACATAATCATAGCTTGAATAAATATGTAAATTCACTGAATTAATCCACAGATTATCGATTCTCTTATTTATACAGTTGTCCAGTTGGCGGTTCTCAACCCTAGGCCTGTCCCTGAGGTAAGTAGAGAGAGGGGGGAGAGAGAGAGAGAGAGGGGGGGGGAGGGAGAGAGAGAGAGAGAGAGAGAGAGAGAGAGAGAGAGAGGAGAGAGAGAGAGAGAGAGAGAGAGAGAGAGAGAGAGAGAGAGGAGGGAGGGAGGGAGGAAGGGAGGGAGGAGGGAGGAGGGAGGGAGAGGGAGGGAGAGAGAGAGAGGAGAGAGAGAGAGAGAGAGAGAGAGAGAGAGAGAGAGAGAGGGAGAGGGAGGAGAGAGAGAGAGAGAGAGAGAAGAGAGAGAGAGAGAGAGAGAGAGAGAGAGAGAGAGAGAGGAGAGAGAGAGAGAGAGGGGAGAGAGTGAGAGGGAGGAGAGACGAGAGAGGAGAGAGAGAGGAGAGAGAGAGAGAGAGAGAGAGAAGAGAGAAGGGAGGGAGAGAGAGAGGAGAAGAAGAGCGAGAGAAGGAGAGAGAAAGGAAGAAGAGAAATGAGGAGGAGAGAGAGAGGAGAGAGAGGAGAGAGAGAGAGAAGGGAGAGAGGAGGAGAGTGAGAGAGAGGAGAGAGGAGAGAGGAGAGAGAGGAGAGAGGAGGGAGAGGGAGAGAGAGGAGAGATGAGAGAGAGAGAGAGAGAGAGAAGAGGGAGAGAGGAGAGAGAGAGAGAGAGAGAGAGAGAGAGAGAGAGAGAGAGAGGGAGAGAGAGAGAGAGAGAGAGAGAGAGAGAGAAGAGAGAAGAGAGGAAAGAGAGAGAAAAGAGAGAGAGAGAGACAGCGAAACAGACAGCGACAGACAGACACAGACAGACAGACAGACAAGGAGGCCGAGGAGAGAGCGACACGGACAAACAGATGATGAGAGAGAAAGAAGTGTCCTTTCCAATAATCAAAAATGTGCACATACGTAAACATTTTTATTACACCAGCATGCGTACCTGTTCATCTGTCTTCCACCTTATACATTACCTGTCTATTCTCTTCTGCACGATTCCTTCTCAAGAAATAAAAACAAAATAAATTCCAAAACCGCCGGACTCACAACCCCGCCCTTTCCCGCCCCAGCGACTCGTGGCAGCGACGCCCATGAAACAACTTCTTCGCGACCCGTATATACTGGTGACAGCGGGTGCCATCATGGTCGCCACTTCCGCCATGGCTGTGCTGGAGCCGTGTCTGCCCATCTGGCTGACGGACACGCTCCATCCAGAGGTATTTTATGGTTTCCCTTGGATTGTTCTTTGTTTGTCTTTGTCTTTGTCTTTGATGTTAGAGACTCACTGCGCCATGTACGTTTCTTCTTGAAGTTGTAGGAGGGGGGGGGCGTTGCTTGTATCATCAGAAAAAGGAAACACCTTGCTTGGATCTTGTAGGTTCTGTTCTAAGGCGTTACAAAAAGGGGACTGAGAACACACGTCCGATTTTTGTGCTTGACCAGCGCCGAGAGACCGAGTTTTGGCAAGGAAATCCCGGTCACAGCAAGGCTGTTAGGTCACGTGACCAGGATAATGTTGCCACGTCACATAAAATAATGTTTTTAAATTAAATAATAATGTGGGAGGTTACAGTGAAAAGGAACATCATACAGTGTCAAGTTATGCATACACACAAAATATATAGAAATACAGGGTAAACATATGTAACAGATTAAATGGTACATGTTATGCTCAATGTATGTCTTTACATATCTACAGTCTCCCGTCTGTTCTTGCGTTTACTTGGAAGGCGTTGTCTCTCGTCTAATTCTTCGGTGTCCCTGCGATGCCTTGACTTCTCGTCCAGTTCCTCTCTCTCTCTCTCTCTCTCTCTCTCTCTCCTCTCTCTCTCTCTCTCTCTCTCTCTCTCTCTCTCTCTCTCTCTCTCTCTCTCTCTCTCTCTCTCTCTCTCTCTCTCTATCTATCTATCTATCTCTCTCTCTCTCTCTCCTTCGAATTCCCTTTTCTCCTAGTCTCCTCGTTCAGTTCATGTTTATTCTTGTAATGGTTTGTATTCTCACCTTGTTCTTGGGTTTCATTGCAATACCTTGTTTTGTCCAGGTCATGGTTTTTCCTGCAATATACCCTGGTTCCTTTTCCAATTCTTGTTTTTTCGTGAAATCCCCTTTCTCCTCCTCTAAGTCTTGGGTTTCCTTGTAATCTGTCTTGTCCTCTTTCTAACTTTCGCTTTTCCTTGTAATTCTTCTCCTCTCCTAAATCTTGCATTTCCTTTGTAATATTTATTTTCCTTTTCTAAATCTTTCGTTTTCTTTGTAATATTTATTTTCCTCTTCTAAATCTTGGTTTTCCTTTCATATCTCTTCTTCCTTCTAAATCTTCTTTTCCTTATAATCTCTCATCATTTCCAATTCTGGTTTTTCTTGTAATCTCTCTTCTCCTCTTCTTAATCTTGGTTTCCTTTTAATCTTTCTTCTCTTCTAAATCTTCCTTTTCCTTGTAATCTCTCTTCTCCTCTTCTAAATCTTGGTATTCCTCGTAATGTTTTGTCTCCTCGTCTAAGATACACTCAGAGATATCTCGACGTATAACCAAACTGATTGTGGATCTTATCTGTGTGTTTCTGTAGCATTGCCTTCCTGGGTGTACTTTTCCAGTGTACATTGACGTAGTGCACCTCTGGTTGTGTTTTTTCGGGTGTTTATTTGAGTGTACTGCCTTACCGGTTGTGATTTTCAATTGTTTTAATGTTGTGAGTCCTTCTATGGCTTCGTGTGATATCGCAGTGTTTGTGCTTTTCCTTGATGTATTCATGTGTTTTTTTAATTAAATTTATTGTCATTTAATTCGTTTAGAGGAGCCACTTAGGAGAGAATTTATATGGCTGGTGAAATATGTGATAATGCAAATAGGGTAAAAGAAATGTCAAATAAATTATTCATATTTAGAAAGAAGCAAGTTTCTGTTTTGTTTGGTTTGTTTGTTTGTTTTCATTGTAAACTGAAAAGAGGAAAATAGGTGTATTGTAAATTGTCTTCTAACAAGGATGATAATTGTTCTCTCTTTCTTTCTCCCTCCTTCCCAACCTACCCACCTCCCTTTCTCCCTCCCTTCCTTTTTCCAATCCCTCTTCTCTCTCTCTCTCTCTCTCTCTCTCTCTCCCTCCCTCCTCCCTCTCCTCTCCCCCTCCCTCTTCCTCCCTATCTCCTCCTCCACCCCCTCCTCCCTCCACCCCCACCTCCCCCTCCCTCCTCCTCCACCCCCTCCTCCTCCTCCTCCACCCCTCCACCCCCACTCCACCCCTCCTCCTCCCCCCCTCCTCCACCACCCCCTCCTCCTCCCAACCACCACTTCCTCCTCGCCACCCTCCTCCTCCCCTCCACCCTCCACCTCCTCCTCCACCACCCCCTCTCCTCCCTTCCTCACCCCTTCCTCCACCCCCTCCTCCTCCTCCTCCAACCCCCTCCTCAACCACCCCTCCTCCTCCCCACCACCCTCCTCAACCACCCCTCCTACCCCACCACCCCTCCTACCCCCCCTCCTCACCCCCCCCCCCCCCCCCAGACATGGCAGCTGGGCACGGCCTTCATCCCTGACAGCGTGGGCTACCTGCTGGGCACGAGCTGCACGGCGGGGACCAGCCTTCCGTGCCGGCAGGTGGAGGGTGGCCATGTGCGCCCTCGCCCTCGTCGCCCTCGCCGCCGCCACGGTGGGTATCTAGGGTGGGTGGGCGTGTGTGTGTGGGTGGGGGAGGGGGGGTTGGGTGTGGGGGGGAGGGGGGTGTGTGTGGAGGGGGGGTTGTGTGTGTGGGGGGGGGGATGTGTGTGCGTGGGGGGGGGGGGGTGTGTGGTGTGTGTGTGTGAGTAGAGATAGTGAGTGTGGTGTGTGGGGGGGGTCTGTCTGTGTGCGGGGGGGGGGCTGTGTGTGTGTGTGAGAGAGAGAGATAGTGAGTTAGGTGTGGTGTGTGTGTGGTGGGGGGGGGGGGGGGCTGTGTGTGAGTGTGTTTGTGTGCGTGTGTGTGTGTGTGTGATGATAATGGTTGCGATCATAGAAATAGTGAAAAAACTCGTATAATGATGATAATAAAGACTTGATAACGATACTAATCATAATAATTATCGCTACTTTTCATAAAAAAATACGTCATTACCATCCCACCACCCTCACCACCACCCTTCTCACCCCCCCCCCCCTCCTCCTCTCCCCCCCCCCCTCCAGGTACCCGAGGCTCGCTCCATGCTGGCACTCTCCGGCCCCACCTGTTCCTGGGCCTCGGGGTGGGCACCGTCGATGCCACGCTGATGCCCCTCCTGGCATCCCTGGTCGACAGCAGGCACGCGGCGGACTATGGGGCCGTGTATGCCATCGCGGAGGCGGCCGTGGCACTGGCCTATGGCTTGGGTGAGTGGGTGGGGTGGTGGGTGGGAGTGGGGGGTAGGGTGGGGAGGGGTGGGAGGGGAGTGGGAAGGAGGAAGGGGAAAGGGTGGGGTGGGGTGGGAGGGGATAGGAGGGAAGGGTGATAATAAAAAGAACAAATTCAACAACAACAGAGCAACAACAATGATAATAATAATGATAATAATAGTAATAATATTAATGATGATGGTGATGATGAAAATAATAAAAATAAATAATAATAATATGACAATCACAATAATTATAATAATATAATAATAAATAATAATGATAATAATAATAATATTAATAATAATAATAATAGTAATAACCAATATTGATAATAACAATATTATTAAAGATAATAACTCCGTACCCCTCGCCCGCCCCTTCCCGCAGGTCCCCTGGTGGGCGGAGCCATCGTCAAGCGCATCGGCTTCCCTTGGCTCATGCGCTCAGTCGCCATCGTGAACCTGTGCTACTGCCCGCTGCTGCTGCTCCTCGCCTCCTTCGAGCACGACCCGGGCGAGGCGCAGGTAAGGAGGGGTTAGAGAGGGGGGGGGGAGGTGTGGTTGTGGAGTGCTTGTGGGGGAGAAGGTAAAGGGGGTGGGGGGGAGGTTGTGGTTGTGAGAGTGCTTGTGTGGGGGAGGTAGGTAAAGGGGGGGTTAGGGGGGGGGGGGGAGTTGTGGTTGTGAGAGTGCTTGTGGGGGAGGTGTAAAGGGGGGTGGGGGGGAGGTTGTGGTTGTGAGAGTGCTTGTGTGGTGGGGAGAGGAGGTAGGTAAAGGGGGGAGAGGGGGTGGGGGGGGGAGGTTGTGGTTGTGAGAGTGCTTGTGGGGGAGGTAGGTAAAGGGGGGTGGGGGGGGAGGTTAGAGTGCTTGTGTAAGAGGGGGGGGGGAGAGGGGGGTGGGGGGGGAGGTTGTGGTTGAGAGTGCTTGTGGGGAGGTAGGTAAAGGGGGTGGGGGGGTGGGGTTGGAGAGTGGTGGTGTGTGAGTGCTTGTGGGGGAGGTAGGTAAAGGGGGGTGGGGGCGTTGTGGTTGAGAGAGTGCTTGTGGGGAGGTAGGTAAAGGGGGGGGGGAGGTTGTGGTTGTGAGAGAGAGAGTGCTTGTGGGGGGGGGGAGAGGTTGTGGTTTGAGAGAGTGTGCTTGTGGGGGAGAGGTTGTGGTTGTGAGAGTGGTATTAGTGCTAGTGTTCAGTTTAGAAAAAATAATAGAAATTTTGGTGTTTTGTTTAATATTATTAATGCTTATGTTAGTACTAATAACAGCCCTAACTTCGTCTCAATTATTAACGTATTATTATGAAACAATAAAAGAAATTCTATTAAATATTATCGTTATATTCACTGTTTCTCAATTCTCTGTCGATTTAAATTCTTCCTCATTTTTCTTATTAATTCAGTTTTATTTCACGAACTTTGACTCGAATCTTTTCCACGATTTGATGTAGACGTTCATGTGTATATATATAATGTACGTATTCATTATCATTGTGACTTATTATCCTTCTTTTTCTTGTCCCCATCTTTGCCTCTCTCTCTCTCTCTCTCTCTCTCTCTCTCTCTCTCTCTCTCTCTCTCTCTCTCTCTCTCTCTCTCTCTCTCTCTCTCTCTCTCTCTCTCTCTCTCTCTCCTCTCTCTCTCTCTTCTCTCTCTCTCTCTCTCTCTCTCTCTCTCTCTCTCTCTCCTCTCTCCTCTCTCCTCTCTCTCTCTCTCTCCTCTTCTCTCTCTCTCTTCTCTCTCTCTCTCTCTCTCTCTCTCTCTCTCTCTCTCTCTCTCTCTTCTCCTCTCTCCCTCTCCTCCCCCTCTCCCTCTCCCTCCCCTCTCCCTCCCCCCCCACAGGCGATCCTCATGGCCGCCCCCGACCCGGCTGACTACCGGGGCCACGCCACCTGCCCCGTCCAGCCCCACGAGTCCTCCCTCAGGTACCAGAAGCTCTTCGACGAGGAGGAGAGAGGAAGAGGTCAGGAGGAGGAGCATGAGGAGCGAGGCGACGAGGAGGACGAGATGGCGACTAGGAGGACTAGAAGGAGGCGGCTAGGAAAGCTGAGAGAGAGAGAGGACGAGGAGGCGACTAGGAGGCTGAGACGAGGAGGAGGACTAGAGGGAGGTCATGAGGAGGACGAGGAGGCGACTAGGAGGCTGAGCGACGAGGAGGTTGAGAAGAGGAGGAGACTAGAGGGAGGCCAAGAGGAGGACGAGGAGGCGACTAGAGAGAGGTCTGAGACGAGGAGGACTAGAAGAAGGCCGAAGGAGACGAGGAGGCGACGAATTGCGACGTGGAGGAGGACTAGAAGGAGGCGAAGAGGAGGACGATGAGGCGTCTACAGGAGGCTGAGACGAAGAAGGAGAAGGAGGACTAGAAGGAGGCGAATAGAGTGAAGTGAATAGAATGCCGCGTCTAAGAAGCTGAGGCGATGAAGAGGAAGATCAGGATGAGGTGACCAGAGTGAGGCGAAGAAACAAGCCGGGAAGATAAGGAGGAGGACTAGAATGAGGCAAGAAGGAAGCTGAGATGAGGAGGAGGAAAAAAAAGAAGAATGAGACGAGTGGCTTGGCGAAGGAGGAAGCTGGGACGATGAGGAGAAAGGAAGAAAAGATGAGGCGAATGAGGTGAAGCTAAGTGAAGTCATTGATTCTCTCCAATCTGGAAGTTAGACAAGGCATCTATTGGCGATTAAGTTGTCGTGTTTAGTTGTATTTCATTTCATTTCAATTTTCTTTTTTACTTTTTTACTTTTTTACCTAAGTACTTTTTTCACTGATCTAGAGGTAAAGAAAGTGGTAGATACGAAATTCTGAAAGATGTGAAGCTTAAAGTTACCTCATTGAAAACCCGCCAGTTTTCTTCTTCTTCTTCTTCTTCCTCTTCTTTTCTTTTTTTTATTTTATTTCTTACAGAAGGGGGGGGGGGGTTGCAATGCAGCTAA